CACTTTAATTATGTCAAGCATGTTCCAGTGAAACTATTAATATTTATGTTATGGTGGTGAAGAGCAATTAAACGGCATCTGAATACGTCTAACATTTCGAAAATATTTTGTAGTTTCATTGCGTTTGATATTGTCCTCATTAGCAGCTAAACGCTAACAAGCTTGTAAGCACCTTTTCTTTTTCAATATAATACTCAACTGATCGCTCCAAATTACTTCTGTAGCGATCAGTTACTTTGTAGCGATCAAATTACTTTGTAAAAATCTCATCGATTCATTAACAAATAAAATTCATCGACCATTGCGAAATAATCATCCCATAATGACTTTTCAGAAATATAATAGCTTCTATAATCCTTTCGCTAAATGATACGATGCTTAATGAACGGTTCATATAACAGCTCAGATAAATTCATAGTTACTTTCCGTTCTCCAGATACATTTATAGGCAAACTTTGAATATTTATTAACATTCATTTTGCCCATAAAATCAACCTTTAGCATGACATTTTCGAAGATATTATGACGATTTTTGATTCACTTAGGAAGTATGATATGATTTTTATCGTATGCTGGAGTGGGCGTTCTGAAATGTGATTCAAAACGCTTTTCAGACGATATTTGGGAAGAAAAAGTTTGCTGCGGTATTATCCTTTAACTGATATATAACATGACCTTATTGGATATATGTTCGTATTCCCAGTGAATGCAGCTTTCAATATGATTGTAGTTCAATCAAGAGCGAAACGCTCCATCGCAGGTGGATTCAGGAAATTAGGTGTTATATGACATTAAAAGGGTTTTATTCAAGTAGAGTTTGCGCGGATTGTTACTGATACCTATATATTGCACCTGCGAGAAAGCGATAGCGAGGTGAGTCCGAATGAAATAGTGAGACCCTAGAATTTTAGAAAAAGATTCACTGTTGTTGCGTTTTTGACAAAGTTTCATTTATTGATATTAGTTTTCACCGACTCTCTTGGAATCAAGGATATCCATTTTCAATAATCATCCTTACTGCTTACTTCCGACTTCTTTTTCGTGATTTATCGCACAATTAATGAATTGTTCGTTGAAAGGGTGATGTCAATGCATCAAATACTTTGTATGTTGTGAGTCCAGAGGACAATCCGAATTCGTTAGTATTTTTCTTCTGTGAAACATTAGAGGAAACAACTGAATTTATCAATGTTCAGATGCAATTCTTTGAGATATTATGCGTTGCAGTTTATCCTAAATTACATGAAAGGGTGATTGTAATTTGATTCAATGCTGATGGTTGGATGCGATTCAGAAGTAGGCTTCCCATACGGACTGCACGTAATTTCATCTGGAGTAAAATGCAAAAGAGATTTGCAATGAAACGAGCGTGATTGTTGATGGTTTATCGAATACGAAAGGGTCCGTAATCGTTGAACACGCGAATAGATTTGGGATGTTTGCACATTCATACTTCAACAGCGTCTAACATGGCACAAAACTGAACTCACTTATCCAGATAATCGAAAAGATTTCTTCTGTAAATAATATTAGTTTACCACACCTCAATCCAATCAGTTATTCAGCTGTTTCCAAAGTCAAATATCTTTTCGAATATTTTCGTGCTCTTCTGCAGCATGCATGGAATTAAAATCAAAGGTTCGGCTAAGACGTGAAAGCAAAAAGCAAAACCAGAAAAAAACACCTTCAGTAACCATTTTGTTGTACACTGACCTTTGAGTGTTCTAAAAAAATTTTGTTCCGTGTTCAATCAACACTTCCACTCAAAACTTGTTTCAACATTCGGTTGATTCAATTTGCGATTGTTTGCTGTTTCTTATTGGATGATTGCAATGATATAATAATATAATGTTTATCTTCTCATCGTTCAGTGAAGCACTCGACAACAATTGATCGACGTCCTCTGCTTGATTATTGCGCGTTTCATTTCTATCATATTTACTGCTCTTGTAGTCTCTTGCTGATCACTTCATTACAGTGGAAATGCCACAGTGCAGATTAAGCTGTCGTAATTTTTTATTTGGTGTTCAAACAAAGACAACTCAAACCCTACTGACTGTGAAATGTCCATTGCTAGAACGGTTTCAACCACCTATTGAAGGAAAGTGCACGCTTAACATTGTTCAAGGACCATGAAATAGCTTATTGTCTTCGGAGGATTGAATATAATGAAAACTAATGCAATTCCCACGATTCGAGTGCATATGTTCAAAAGGTATTCATTTGGAATCCTGCAAAACACGCTATTATCAGTGCAAAGCAATCTGCAATGGGAACTTAGCAGATAGTTGTCATTCCAATGTCACATACGGACACTTACGCGATAAGCCGAGAGAAGTTCCTCACAATCAGTTGAGTTGGAAGATTAAGTCAGCAATAAGCAGCGAATATCCATCTGCACTTAACTGGTTCTCGGACCATATCAGCACACCATCAGATCTCTTCAGTTTTGAGGCTAACCGTTGAAAAGTCGCTCTCATCATGTGACGAAATAACATCATTTTGTGAATGCGATGTTCAAACTGACCGCGAAAGCTTAACTATAAACGAGGTATACTTTTTAAATCATGTTACTTATAACTGGTTCAAAATTTGTTCGGAGATTAAGGTTTATGATTCATATAGTTGCAGGTGCCCTCATTGAACGATATTTGAATTCACGTCATTCTTAATTACTTTTTAGGGGTGATTTAATGCTACATTGGAATGAAACACAATCACCTTTTTCGAACATCCACAATTGCGCATTATCGCAAAACTTCCTTTTTCGAATTCTATCTTTTAGCTTTTAAATTCAGTGTTGCGGACGTTGAGATTTTGATTACCACTTTAGTATTTTGCACTCTGGATCATCTTAATGTAGTTTCTGTCATTTACGTGGATTAATCAGCATTCATTCGTTTACAGTTATGCACTTATGCATTCACCCGGAACTAATTTCACTCTGTTCTTCTTCCAATGAACAACCTCGAATTCTGTTGCACACCTCGCCATTGATAGGAATTTTTTTCCAACGCGTAATCACTCGACAGAATCGGTGAATAGTCTAGCCAGTGGCTCACAACAAAAAAAAAACTATCGTTTAATCGTTCCTGTTTTGATTCAGAGCGAATGATTAACGTGATCGTAATTAGATTAATTGTATAAGCATTCCGTTCTGGTAATCTTAGGCACGTTTTTTGCCACGATGAATCAGCAGCATTCAGCATTGAATGAGAAACGGTTGCATGAAGCGTTCGTTTAGTTCAGTTGTAATGATAGTGTTATTTCTATGTGCAGTGGCTTAACGAAAGGATGAACACTTATTTCTTATTCTGAATTCATTCTGTTGTGATTATCTTCATTATTTTGATGGAGAGAAAAACTGGAGCTATGGAAGGGACACGTTCAAATGGTTGCAAGAGTGGTCAACTTTGAAATTGTTGTAGCGATTCGCAATATCACTGTAGCCATATCGAATAAGAGTGAAACGAATTTTAGGGAAAAGTAATTTAAGTGATTCAACTAAGCTGAGAAGATGAATCGCTGTGTACATTCGTTGGAGTGTAACTTTGAGACATGTCGTCATTGCCGACGTATTTTTTCCAACAGGCACTACTTTGCACCGTTCACAACAAAACACGTAACTGCTGAATTGCACGAGTAAACCTCCTCACCAACGACTCAAACATGCGGTGAACACGTGAATATTCCTAAATTATCAACGAATGTCGTTAGCACTAACTGTCATATTGACATGCATCACTGTTTGTAGGTGAGCGAGATCTCGTAAGGCTTTATCCTTTTGTTTAATGTACAATGACAAATCCACCATTTCAGCATATTTTAACACACTTCATTTGCTGAACAACGTGAGATATGACGGCATTTTCACATCCCACCCACAGTGTGCATTCACATGGAGAAGTAACCTAAAAAGAATATGTGAACGTCTTGTTCTTATTCTTGTGTATTCACCTCAACCTAATTCGTAGCTTCGAGAACGGAATGCTGGAAGAAGCTTAAACAGAGAAAGAATGCAGTGCAGAGTGTGCACTGCAGACTCTGCATAATAGACAACTTAGTTCGATTACAGATTCATTTTGAATGGGTTAGGCTGAAAAAGAGTTCTTTCGCATCAAAGTCACTTTAGTTTTTCAATCCACATCTCTTTGATGAAGAAGTGGGTAGATTATGAACATTTTTGTGTTTTACACCTTTCATTTACCTGACAAAAGATTTGAAATGGCACAATTACTGATTGGTTCAGTACAAATCAATTGGTCGAGATGCGACGCAAAAACACTAAAAGCAACCATCCGCTTGCATGCAAAATTCGTGATGTTTGCAATGGTTGATGCCAAACTGTTGAAGTCACTGCTGCAATCAGTCATCATTTCATTCGATTTGATGCGACATTCTAATGAATAAGTAAAAGCGAAAAATCTGAGCTTGCAATTAATAAATTTTTATCAAAGATTATATACATCCTTGTAAACAGAGAATACCGTTGTTGTTGCCTCCGTTATTCAACGTTTCTGTGAATCGACTTGCACCACCTCACTTTGTCTTACTGAGGCATGTAACGCCAACAGGCGACGGGGAACAGTATAGAATGAAGCAATTTATATTTGAGTACGACTTTTGTTTCAAAGCAGTAGCAGCCGTTCATGCCTCTATGTATTCATTTGATTATGAGTATGATTTTTGGATAGTATTTGAATGTTGGAATTGTAATCAACCAGAATGTGTAAATATTCCGTGCAACTTGTAGGCGCTTCTTTTTTCGATGATCTCTGCTTGGATACGCAATTCAATCTTGATTTGAGTTTTTCGGTGGACTTGTGGAATACAAGCATACAAATCACGCGAACAAACGAAAGCGCTAATGGAGCCGTTAAAATATTAAAACCGTCAATGTAATGTTTTTGGTTTTTTCGCAGTAATGAATCGTCACATTGATGGTTAACGTTGTGTAAAACGATTCTATGATGAAGAAGAGGTAACAAATGTTGCAATTAATGGCTAACTTCAGAACCGTTACCTTTGATCGTTATTATACGAGCGTGATGGCAGCGTTTCAATCAACAGCTGGTTCGTTATCACCACTGCCTTACTGCAGTTCTATAAGACCGCTGTCCATCGAGGAAATGTTATCAGAAATGAATTTCACAGTTAACGAATCTGAGATACGGCCTTTAACGCCACCTAGATCACCAGTCGAAAGCCTCTCTGATTCCAGTGATTCAATTTGTTGCAGCAAGAGCGACTTTGTTCAAGTATGTTAGCTGCTCCCAATTTTCACTTGCATTATTTGACTCAGGTTATAAATTTGAATCAGTGCTATTCAACTATAGAAAATTTTGTTGTTCATTGCATTATTATCTGCAATCCGTTGATTGTGAGCGTCATTTTTCTGCATTTGAATTACTAAATTGTGATAAGCCGTAAAAGTGTCGTATTTGCAATGTGACGAAACTTTTACATCGTTACTCATTACTTCAGAGTGAGAATAAAACAGACTGACAATAGATGAGTTTACTTGTAGTGCATCAAATCACTTAAGACTGACATGTGATTAGTTGCTGATACTTTATGTTTGTTGCAATAAATGATTGCAGGAAATTAGTAAAGCGCTGAATAAACTTTACGAAGATTCTGTGCAAAATAATCGAGCACAGTACAAGAAGGCAATGGATCATTTGGATGATTTATTAAGCAGGTATAAGAGGCGAGATCGGCGTGAACGACGATCATCAATTGGAACTTTGTAATACTTAATGTGTCAACCATTCTGTCGTACAGATGAAGTGCTCTTCGACGGTCATAAACGCTCAAAGTGACTTGCAATCAAACAATACGCATTCATTTTCGCATCTTCAACAGCGTTTTAATCGGCGAACTGATGCTAAGCCCTTATAATAAAATCCTTTCAAGTCACTTTAAGAAGCATCTTGTGAAATTTTATTTTATTTTTTCAAAATTTTATTCAATAAAATTTTATCTTCACTTCACTCCTGTTCATTCTCAACACGACAGTTCACCGCCATTCTTCCTCACTTCATGAAGGCATCCTGATGCACCGCACAGTAATTATTCCACTTCAGAACGCATCAGTTGTAGATTCGATTTTTTCAGATGAGGTTGATACCTCTTCACTACTGTAACATTCAGTCTACTGCGTAGGACTCAACAAGTTTATATCCTTTTTTTAGAGATTCCAAATATACACCACCAATAGGCTGCTAAACTGCTCTACTGAATAGATCATGTGGAAGAAAAAACAAAGTTCGTGCTGTTCGCACGCTTACTTGTCATTATTTATCAGAATTAATTGCCTAAGAACCGGAACCTGTTCGTTCATTGTGATCGCTCAGGCGATGTTGACGTAGGGATGAATGCCGAGAGATTGAAAACTACGCTGAGCAAAAGATTGTAGTTGAACTGGATAATAGGAGTGAATAAGTGTAGAACTGTTGTAACTTCAACTTAAAAGAGCATTTATTTCGTAATAAGTATGCAGAAACAAATGAATTTGAAAACTTCTACGTTAATATGTATTAGATGTGAATCGAAAGCTTTATGTTTGCATGATGCCTTACTATTAGTATTATTACTCGATAAGCAATCAGTTTAGCGTTTCTGCCAACAAAACATATACGGTGGCAAAAGCAGTGATATCTGCGCGTAGGAAGACAATTGTAATTCCGATGTTCACGTAATAGTTGTTGTTGGTTGTTGCTGGTGGATCATTGAAACTGTGATGATATTTGATTAACCAAGCTGATGTGCTGCATTATTTTGAGAGTGTAAATACACTGAAGAGTTGACCCAAAAAGCGACATGTTCAACCAAATCCATTAACGCTCTTCATTGATATTTTCCCGAATCCGTTTCAAGTATGACTCGCACACTTCTTCTGGATCAGCATAAATCTGAACTCGAAGAGGAACAGATCCACAAAGAATCGTTCGAAATGGTGGCTCCCAAACATCATCCGGACGACGAAAGCGGATGTAATCTAAAATAATTACGAGTTTTCACTTTGATCAATCTCTGAAACTAACATAATTAATTGTAAATAAAAAATAGTAAATAAATAATAAATAAAAATAATAAATTAAAACTAACATAAATCAATGACACTTTTCTGACCTAAATGCATATGGAGATTATCCTCAATCAGCTTATCAACTTACATTTCAATGCACTTCACGTTCTTGAAAAGTTCAGACGAGAAGTTTTACAAATATTATCACAGAAATTGATGTATTATTACTGTTCATCTCGAGATTACGTTCATATCGAGATTACGGCACAGTAAAATCCTATCAAACTATTTGATTGTTTGTCAGAAACTCTTCTTGGGCGTTGTTCACAAAAAAAATTCTCTCGAACGCAAACTAGTAGAATCGTAACGTGATCCATCCTAATACTTCTAATGCTTCACTGTCTCATTCCATGTAACTAGAAATGGAGTGTTTTGAAATGAATGCAATTCCGACTAACTTCGACTCATTCCCAGGTAGGCGTCTGATGCAACGAACAAAGAACAAATGAGTATAACTAAAGCAACATTCATTGTTCTGCAACCTGAAAATATTGGTTATGTTCGATGCATTCACGCGCACGTGCAAAAACTCGATGCCATTCGCGTTATTCGATAACAATAGTATCACGTCGTAATCTCGCAAACGCTGCTCGCAACACATCCGTTCAGAAATCAGCACTTCTCAGCGATATCGTTCAAAAGTCGTCCAATGATGGACTTGATTTGCGGGAATCTCATTTTAGTGATGAATCTGATCAATTAGATTGGCACTTATGAAGATCAAGCATGAAAATTCGTTTCTGACAACTGCTCAAATGAACCGACTGTACGGGTCAGACTCGTATGGCCGACTTTCTGAAAAGTGTTCGAAGCAGTTCATAGTAAGAATAGTTGTTATTTCTGTAGGACTGATGTCGGGCTTCACCCAGGGCCGCCCGAGACTTGTTCGAAGCTTAGGATGTGAAGCTCGTTCCGGATCCACGCTTAGGCTCATCTTGGACATAAACTGACGCTTTTTTTTGGACTAAAGCTAAGGTTTATTGTGTACTGTGGATAGCATCCAAAAACTCAGCATACAAGTTGGCTTCGTACGGCGGAACTTTAGCAGCTGCCAATAATTCGAGCATAAACATAAAACCATCAAACAGTGAATCAGTTGTCTCGATAAAATGTGACCACATTGATATGGGTGAAACTGAACACGTCAACAAAAATATGCACCATGAGGAACCTATTTCATTCAGAATTGAATAAGATCGGTCAAAATAATATAGACGGGCCAAATCAAGATAACATCGGAGAACAAGTTGTTCTTCGGCGACCCGGCTGATTCTACTGAATCACATCGTTGATCCAACCACACTTCACTTATAAATTTATTGGTGAAGATTAGAGGGAAATCTGTTCGATCAAAAAGCTGAATCAAGAAATGCAAACGGAATAAATCGGCCTCGAAACAACAAAA